TAGAGATATTTCAGTCAATTTGTAAGGTGGAATCGTGGTCGTCAAGAATAGTCAAAGGGACAACCTTATCGGTCAAGGTACATAAGTGAGAAGAGAATATGGGCACCCAGATGACTACATCGAGGACGAGGGACATATAGAACTAGCGAGAAACATCGGTAAGAGGAGTCACGAGTAAAGAAGTAAGATGGATACAAGTTTAGGGAACCTGCTAGAATACCCCAAAGTGAAACCAAGATTGCCTATGTTGGTGAAAGGTGTCAATCTCTCGGGTGTAAATTTCTTGGACGGGGAAACTGTACGAGGAATTTCAGGAAAGGTCAAAGAACAATAGAAGAGGTCGTACGAGAAATCCCAAGTCAAACGATGATAAGGAAGTGTTAAGTTAGGTGCCAGGAGTGAGCAAGTACGCAAAATGGAAGGTCATGATTCTGGGAAAGATTCATAAAGTTGATCGCAAGCTAGAGAAAGACGCAAAGGATGCCTCTATGCATACCAGAAGTAGAAACAGTAGGATGAGGTTCCAACACTAAGCAGCAAGTAACGAGGCGGTGACCATACCGTTTATGGTTAAGGGATAAGACGAGGCATTGAGGAAGAAAGTATGAGATGCAGAGTTAGAAGATACAAGGACCTAGGTCACCTATGAGGTCAACCCCAGACGAGAGTTACGTTAAAAGAGTTTCACCACCTTACTAGATGGAGGATAAGCCGCCATCAGTGACCTTGGGGTTGGAGAGAGGCATTAACTTCTCATGTACCGAACAATGGATAGTTATCGTTCCTATATATGTACAAGGTACAACCGAGGTAATGTGAGGGGTTAAGAAGCCACAACAACATTGAAGTTGCAGGGAATGGAGGGAAGGATTTTAGGACATGTCGTATAAGTTAAAGGAAACAAAAATCCGCGAAGTGAAAAGGATTACCACAAGCGATGCTTAGGGTAATCACAAGGGACAAATTTCGAGGGCGAAATTTCTATAGGTGGGGGAGGAAATGTGATACCTGACTCTGAATTAGATTTAACAACAAGTATTGAAGGAGTTGAATAGACGTATCAAACGAAATTCAAAATCGCACTACCAGCCCAAGTTGGAAAATTTTGAAAAGAGCAATGAGTTACTCAAACCTATTCGATGCTACCGAGCTAGATGAGAATACCTGTTATGGTCAAGAGTACAGAGAAGAACTATAGTAAGCTATTCAAGGTAAGGTAAGGGCACACCATTGAAGTTCATATAGCAAGAATGAAATCTTGAGCCAAAGAAGCACGAGAATGAGGAGTATGGAAGGATGAGCCCGATCAAATTTCAGGGACAAAATTTTTATAAGGGTGGAGGAAATGTAACACCCCGACCTTTCGGTTCAGGTTCGACCATTTTACGTGAACGGTTGGTTTAACGAGTTTATACGAAGAGTTGCAAATGGGGATTAGGAATAATAATATTATTATTATTACCATTATATTAAAAAAAAACCCTCTAAACCTAAGCTAGCATCAGCCGAGCAACCGCTTGACCTCTCGGTTCCCCCAAAGAACTCCCCAGTTGTCCCCCATCCCTCTCTTCCTCGTCTAGCCAGTGAAGCCGAGAGTAGCAGCCCCGACATTGCACCCCCATCCCGACCTCGCCAGCGCAGCAGTCGAGCAGCAACCGGCCATCATCGCCACCATTATTTTCTTCGACGATTCCAGTGAAGGGCGATCGGATGGCTGAGGAGGGAAATCGGGTTTGGGGCAGGGATTTAGGGGTTCTAGTACAGAAGAGAGATCGTGTGCTGGGATTCAAAACTTCAAGTTTCATCTTTCACTCTGGGTTCGCGGAGGGTATTAATTTAGATGATTGGGCTTTGTTATGATATTGGCTAGGGTCATCCATCGGACCTGCTCTCTACTTCATTGGCTAAGAAAAAACCGGATGCTCCACATGAACCCCAAATGCCGAGGTATCTAGCATGTCGTCATATCGAAGCGGTTGGGATGGTGTCACTGTATCATTTGAAGCGGCCGCAGCAGCAGTTATGCTCTTGAGACTTTTAAGATGAGCAGAAGTTATGCTCTTGAGAATCGTGGTGAAGAGCCACCACGATAAGTTAAGATGTTAGGGGGATGAATCGTTACGACTTCCCTAACTAAGTTTAAGTTTAAGAAAAGCCTGAATGGATTCTCATACGTATGAGTTGACAACCGGTTTAGCTAGTGAGGGATCCCCGTGTCAGTCAAGTATTTAAGTCAAGCTTTGAGATTTATGAATGGAGTAACAGTAACTCCCATACAGATTTAAGAGTTAAGCTTTTCAATAGTGGAAGTACAAAACAACTTTCGCAGGCAGCCAGCTAGAGGAGAGCAGTATAAGCGTCACAGAGGATGCTTAGTCAAGGTTTTCAGTAGCAACAGCTTCAGAGTTTATTAGTTAATTAAATTTATGATTATGAGTACAGACTGGAGATTATTTTGAGATCAGTTTGAGATTTTAAAGTTTGAGTTTAATTTGCCCACGTGTTAGGGTTTGCTCTGAGCTACAAGTGTGTGTTTTCAGTATTTTATTTATGAAATTTTTTCCTCTGAAATTTAAGATTTGAGCATTTTATTTATCAAGGGAATTTTAGTAAAAGTAGTACCCAGCCGGGTTAGGATGTTTCAGTCAACGCATGAGCCACGTCGACGACTCTCTACCTGCACCACCACACCTTGTCAAAGGAGACTTAAATAAATCCTATTTGAATTGGTATGATCGTGATTAGTATGTTCTTACGTGGAGTATTCTCTCTGAATCAGTGCTTCTGAATGTCAACAATAAAGCCACTGCCTTCAATGCGTGGTCGGCCTTGGCCCGCATTTATGCTTCTTGCTACACTGCAAAATCATTGCAAAATCTCCACTGTGGTGACGCCTCCATCCATGACTATTCGTAGGGTGCCAATGCGAAGGCTAATCAATTGGCGGCGCTTGGCTCTTCGGTCACCAATGACGATCTCACGACCTGGATTCTTGATAGCATGGATGAGGATTATCGTCCTTCTGTTCGCCATATTGAGGCACGAATGGATTCGATCAGCTTTGAGAACTTGTACTCCCTGTTTCTTAGTGAAGAAAGCCAAATTCAACATAATTCTTCTCGCATGGAATCTTCTTGGTCCAAACACTTTATTCTCCAGCACCGATGGTCTTCGTGGCAGAGGCGGTCATGGGCGTGGTTGTGGGTCACCCCGCGACCGTTTTCAGTCTATCCCTAGTTTTTCTTCTTATGGCAGGTGTTATAAACGCACTGCTATGGATCGGGAAATCGTCGGAATCGATAAAGTAGGAATATGAATCAAAAAACACAGACAGACGATTTACGTGGTTCACTAACACGATGTGTGTTAGCTAGTCCACGGGCGAGAGAGATCCAGTTTCACTATATCGAGGAGATTACAGATTACGAGGAGTATGATAAGTATTTATAGTACTTCTCCATGTGGGTCTAAAACTAATCCAAATCAAGTCACATCAACCAATCTCCACCTTGACTTGAATCCTCTTCCTCTGAAATCTCTGATGTACTCTACTCCTTCTCTCTTTCCCGCTATCAATGCCTCGTAAGGTGGAGTCACCCACTCAAGACATTCAGCAAGTCCAAGCAGTGTTGGAACTTGCCATGTGGAACCGGCTTCGTGAACATATCAACATGATTATCCGTGGTGCCAACATTCTTCAAGTTAATCCTCTTCTCTGTCCTCAAGAAATGATACCTTACATCAATGTGCTTAGTCCTTTCATGGTGGACTTGTTAGATTGGAGTGGATTTGGTGTTTAATGTCTAAACTTCGGTTGTTATGCACTTTATTTCAATTTTGAAGTTTGAATCGGACTTTGGTTTTGTAATAGACAGCAAGGATGTTTGTGAATTAGTATTGGACTATGATTGGCTTGTTCCCCCCCACCCTCAGAAATTATGTACAAATAGGTTGTCTACATTCCAGGAAAAGGGGTATATGATGCTGAATTTTCTGCAGCATGGTCAAAATAGGTCAAAAGCGGATTGGAACTGGACAAGGTCAAAACCAAACTGGACCCAATCCAATCTTTCGTCCCCATATTTTAGACCGGACTGGGACCAGGTTAATCCGGGACTGTTTAACCGGACTAGACCGGATAGTCACTCCTAATGTATCGCACACTCGTTGGGGGATTGCAATATCTCAGCTTCATGCACTCAGATATTTTCTTCGTTGTCAATCATGTCTCTAAGTTCCAACATTCTCCAACAGACAATCATGGGGAGCTGTTAAACGAATACTTCGTTATCTCAAGGGAACTATCGATCGTGGCCTGGTCTTCTCTCAGTCTCCTACTTTGCATATTCATGGTTATTTGGATGATTCATGTGCATCCTTCCCCAAGGATCACAATTCCATAACTGGGTTTGCTATCTATTGTGATTCAAATATGGTGTCTTGGTCCACTCGTAAGCAGAAATCAGTTGCTCGCTCCTCCACTGAGTGCTAGTATCTTGCTCTCGTCACACTAGCTTTTGAGGTTCTCTGGTTATGCTCCTTGCTACATGAATTGGGTCTATTGATTCCTTCTGCTCCAGTTCTTTGGTGTGATAATCTTGGTGCCACATTTCTTGATCATAATCTCGTCTTCCACAATAGGTCCAAGCATATGATAATTGAGTTTCACTTTGTCCGTGATCAAGTTACCAAAGGACAACTATGAGTGCAATATCTCTTAGCACATGATAAGTTGGCGGATGTTCTCACAAAACCATTGCCACGTTTGTCCTTCAACAAATACTGCTCCAAGTTTCATCTCTTCAAGCCTCAACTTTCGGTGGCGTGACGATGTGTAGATTGTTCCTTAAGTTTCTCCTTATTGTTAGTTTGTTATTAGTGGAACGTTGTGCTCTTCTTCCACTCATTGTTCCACTCCTTTTTGTTCCTTAGTTTTTGGTGCACACTCTGTCTCCATTGTACTATAAAGATTTGATTCAATAATAGAAACCACAGGTCTTATGCATCTTTACAGAGGTGGGTTCAGCAACTGTGTTGACGCAATCGATGGTGGCCGACGCAGTGATGGATTGAGCACAACGGTCCCCAATTTAGCGGTGAGATCAGTTGAAGCTAGCTCTTTAGAGGGATCAATGCTGGGTTGCAAGGTCATCATCGATCATAGTGTCGTTTGTTACACCGTCATATTTTGGTTGAAATCCTCTCCATTTGCCTTTAAGAGTGCCAAGATTTCCGCCTTGAGGTCGTCATCTGAGGTTGGAAGTGCACTCGCGCCAACTGGTTGTTCGATATCGAGAGCTGGCCAGGTGAATAATGTGGTTGGTGCGAGCAGCTAGCGATGTAATTGTTTCTAGGTAATTTGTTGGCGGGTCGACGTTGGTGGCTATGATGGATGGAGTTAGAATCTCGGAGGCTAGATCCTCCATTGACGGATCGACCGTTGGCGGAGGTTCAACTCTATGGTGTCCTGGCTTGAGACATAACAGTAATACCAGCATTGTTTTTCTCCCCGACTTGGGCTCTCCAATTCCTATCGATACAATTGTTGTGGCGCCGGATGAAAATTGTGGTCGTTTTGAGTGGCGTAGTAATTATACGACAGCGGCAGATAGAGCAGTGGCAATCCATATGATGGAAGGTAGTATGGATGCACCTGTTGATGCTATTGAACTCGATGAAACTCGTCACACTTGCATTCCTATGGAGGCCCGAACATCTACATGATGAGATGTCAAAAAACAAGCTCTTGTACCTATTGTTAAGAGAATGGATCTTTGGTCTCTGGACATTGGATACATGCTCAATGCTCTTTAGTAGAGGATCTCTTTAATGGCGAATTACTACTTAAAATACTAATTGAATAACAAAGCAAAAAACATAATTGGGTTCCAGTATTCTCATATTATTACTCATAGGCAAAGTCTCAATTTATAGAGTTACACAATCAAATCTCTTTTCTTTTCACCCTTAGTTTTAGCCTCTCTCTTTCTTGTACTTGAATTCATTTCCCTTCCCTTACAAGAACATTGATTAAATATTAAACAATCACTAACACATCATCAAATCCTGTTAGAACACTTATAACTAATAATTATAATATAATATCCTAAAACAATAGGAAACACATAATTATAATGGGAATATATTGATTAATACCGAATTGTTACGATGACTTGAATTGTAACAGTATCTCCTTATTTTCTTACCTTTGATGGAAATAATAACTGTACAACCAGATTAGAGGTTGTATCGGAAAATTTAGTGGTAGGGTATTTATTTCCTTATTTTCATACCGCCTACCGATTCAGCCTTTGGTAAGAGATTTTCTAGTCGTTCATTGGTACAATAGAATTTTAAATCCTTGGTTGAAAGTATTCTTTTTCCAATAGCGAGTTACTATTTTGGATCGATTTTATTGAAAAAGGAAATTTTTTCGCCTTTGCAAGCGCATAAACACGGTTATTTGTACAAATGGGTGAGTTTGAATGGTGCATAAAGTTTAGTGGCCACTCTGGTAATTTTTCCTTGAAAGAACTCTTTGTGATGGCAATCAAACCCACAATCCCGAGTTCTAGACTACCCCTGCCTATTAAACGCATGGAAACCGTGCATTGACTGGGTATAGTTTTAGCCCCCCGCCCTACACCCACACTCATATCCATACCTACCCACCAAGAGTTTTCTTGACATGTAAAAAAAAAGAGGATGAAATTGTAACATATCAATGATAGCGAGGGCAACTCAAGGAAATAAATAGTAAAAATATAATTGAGTGACCACCCAAACCAAAACATAATTCTGTTACTTCATTTCTCCCCTTCACTCTTTCACTTTTTTCCAATGTTGTTAGAACTGAACTGGAGTATGATTGGTATAACAAATAGTTCATACTTTAGTGGTATAACTAGAACCAATGTTAAACTATTAAAAACTCGTTAATGAATTGGTAACTCATAAAAAATAGAAGCTTCTAATAACTCATTTAGTATTCTAAATCAACATATTACAAAGCTTTATAATATGTTTTAAGAAAATCTCTATAATATATGGTCCTAATTATGAAGTAAATGTTACAACCTCTAATTATCTAATGAGTAAAAAAGGAAGTCATTATTTGCTGCTTACTGCACGAATTTTGGGGTGAGTTGGCCCGAATTTCTAGGAACTTTTACAATCTCCTAAAATAAATTCAGGTTATAATATCAGATCATGTCAATTCATATGATATTTTGTTCATATCAAGTTCGTGTCATTCATATCAAGATCGTATCAGTTCTCTATCATTCATATCAAGATCATATTAGTTTATATCATTTCATATCAGTTCATATCATTCATATCAAGATTGTATCCATTCTATATCAATTATATCAAGACAATATTAGTTCATATATCAAGATCATATCAGTTTATATCAATTCATTTCAAAAATATCACTATGTAGATCTTAATGAATGTGTTCTTTCTATACAACTATTTTTTAATGTTGAGTTGAAATGAATGAGATGTGTCATCATATCACTTTAATGTGAACATCATATCACTGTCATATCAACTTCATATCATCCATATCATAATGATATGATGCCTTATGCTTGATAAAACATAATCAAATGAATATCACTTATAGATCTTAATTAAAATGTTTTTCTACGCAGTTTTATTCTTCTTCCAATTTTTGAGTGGAAATGAAGTATCATGATGATATGATGTTGGTATGAGGTCTTATGCTTTATAAAACATAATAAAATGGATATCAACATGTAGATCTTAATTAGTATGCTTTTTCTATACAATTTTTTCTTTCAATTTCTCTACCCTCTCCATTATTACTTCGATCAGTACACTCCTTGTTAAAATCCTTCCCCATTATATTATTAATTTTTCCCCAACATTACCCTTCAGTTCCACATAAATATATAAGTAGAACAAGTTAAATTTTCAGACCTGTTTACTCTATGTTCGAATGCTAAAAGCTTGTTTACGTCAAACTTAACATAACAAGTAGAACAACTTAAATTCCCAGACTTGTTTATTCTATGAAACCGAACTTTACATAAAACTTAATATAACAATCTTATAGTCTTCAAAATATAATCATCAAGAATAGTATGCCTGATCATCACCCTTTTTAACATATAAGGTCTAAAATAACATCATATCATTGACCCACGACAGATCTAACAAAATGATGGCAAAACATGGAGTGAATTTCATCGATCTAATAATGCAAAGTCTCGTTCTAATTCAAAGTGGTGGTTGTGGTGCTTTCTTGTGTGTCGCCAAAGTTGTTGTCCCATTGTTTTTTATGCTCTTGATTCAGATGTTGAAGCACCATCTTTCCTATCAAAGCAGGCTGCATTTCAAAACCGGAAAAATAAGAAACATTCAAAGTAGCCTCATGAACATTAATAATTTAGAAAAATTTCACGCATCCTTACGTTTAGAACACCAAATCCTTTCTCAGTACTCTAATGCGTCCTACATCCTACAAATGGTGCTTTGTTCTTGGCTGATGGCTTCATCCTACTACTACTAGCACCAGCATTACCCTAAACAAATACATACAAAAAACATATAAATAACACTACAAACTACCATTGACTAATAGACAATCAAATAAATTGTGAACAACTTACTTGATTCTTAGAAGCACCGACATCTGAAGCACCCATTCTCTCGCCGCATCCCGATAGAGCTCCATGACCTTGAGTTTGCTTTGGTTTCTTACCATGCTAGAATTGTGATCTGGTTCGTTACAATTTTTGCACACAATTATACTCCCTTTTCTACCAAGCTTGGTATTATCCTTTTTATCATGAGCCAACAGCTCTTCAGAAGTGTACACATGCTTCTTTCTTGGCCTCCTCTTGTCCTCCATTTCCTCAACACTTCTTACTATTTTCTTCTTTGGTGTCCCAGGCATAATTCTAAAATAAGGATGGAGGATGGTCTCATAGTCACTTCTTATCCATGCCCTTGGTCCATCCATAGGCTGCAACACATTCCCAAAAGGTTAATTGCCACTCTCTCTTTCTGTACTTCTTCCTTCAATTACTCCAAATATTCCTAGCACAAAGCCGATGGTCTGTGTTGGGGAAAATATATGTTATTGCTGGCACAAGCCCCTACAATTTTGATTACCAAAAATAAACCCATCAAATGAACGTAATATACCTTCATTTGATCATTCATTTGTAAAGGGTAAAGTAAAAAATAAACATACTTTCATTTGATCGGAACTAAAGCACCAACCAGCTCCATTATCGATGCACAAATCATCTCTCAACTCCTTCAGGAACCAATCATACGAATTCCTCGACTCAACCTCAACAACTGCCCATGCAACATGATACATTTGATCATTTGAATCCCTTCCAATGGCAGTAAGCAATTCACCCTTGCACAAACCCTTTAAAAAAGCAACCATCGAATGCAATAATCTTTCTACAACCATCTAAGAAACCCTTCTTCATGGCACCAAAGTAAATGTACATTCGTCGGAATTTTGGTTTATTGGGTTGTGCCTATTGACCATGATACACACGGCTGAGTCAGCATTCGCTTTCCTCATCTCCTCGGCATAAGTCCACAAGATTGCATACTCATCTCTGAAGCATCCTTCAGTCAAGTGCAAAACCATCCTCTTTGCTCATGAGCACTTGTTTCTACCCACACTAAACCCAAGTTCTTCTCTAACAGTCTCCATCATGTCTTTTAGCTTCCACCGTGGATATGCTCTTATTCTCCTATGGTATTTCTTAGCGAGCACAGCTGAAGACACATTCCTACACTTAAAATGTACCCCACATCTATCCATCTTGAGTGTTTTGATTTGGAAGACATTGGTTTGTCTACTCCATGAAACAAGAAGGACAAACGTACAGTTATGGTAGCTTCAAATCCTTCTAACCCTTCTTAGATCACTCTTATTAACCCTTAGATCTTTCTTGAATGCTAAACAATATTTGTCGATTGCTTCCCTAACCTCATCCATCCCATTAAAGATCATACCTACCTCGAAGTAAGGGGTGGGTAGATTGAGATTGTACTTAGGGAAACAACTTCTCCTATGCAACCCATGATCTCCCAATACATATTCATTGTTGGTTTCATCTTCGCTCCAAATGTCATCGGAATCAAAATCATCCTCCTCTTCTTCAATTTGTTGTTGCCTTCGTTTGACCTCCTCATCAGAGTGATATGTTGTAGGTATCCCTCTCTTCAAGTTTTCCTTAGCGATCTTTAATTTAGTTGCAATTTTCTTGTGATCTTCAACATCCGCATCACTAACCCACCCTTGGTGTGCCTCAAATTCACTATCAGAATCACCATA